TAATCGATTTAGGTTTGAAGTATAATAAGTACATTCTTGGAAAATATGGTTGACTGTGAGAAGGCTATTGCAGTGTTGACAATTTGGTGGTGGCTGCTTAGTGATGAGATGTACATGGGTTAGGTTCGTTTGTCCTATTCTTAACCTGGTCACGGCGACTTCCTCTCTACGATTAGGGCGGTTTGATGTGATCCAGGGTTAAACTGATTTTTTAACAACTTTTAATTTGCTAGGTGGGCTTTCGTTCCACATAGACTGCCAACTATCCAATATTTCTTTTTTCAGAGGAAAACTCATTTCTGGAGGGGTCAGAATAGGGGTACCTCGGTGTGGAAGCGTGAGTGCCTTTCTGGCTGTCGTACCCGCAAGCTCATTACCAACTTTACTTGGAACAAATATAAAACAAACCGGGGCAACACTAGTTTCACGATGATTATGTTGAATTTCTACTCAAATTAAATCTTCTTTTTGTTTATTTCTTTACGGATGTTTGACCGTGATATAACATGAGAAGGAGTTGGACGTTACAATTAAAAATACTATTTTTTAAAATTTAGTATTTATTTGACCGCTCCCCGCAACCAACTCCTTCTCGTATTTATTTTTTTGAGAAGGAGTTAATTGGGGGGTGCGGTCAAATAAATACTAAATTAAAATATAGTAATTATTTAATATATTGCCGACGTTTGGACCCACTTTGCAGGTCGTCTTCAGGGCGTAGGATGTAGCACTGCGGGCGGCAGTTGAAACACTGTGCTACATCCTACGCGCTGAAGACGACCTGCAAAATGGGTCCAAACGTCGGCAATATATTAAATAATTACTATATTTTAATTTAGTATTTATTTGACCGCACCCTCCAATTAACTCCTTCTCATATTATGTCAACGGTCAACCATCTCTACATCATTATTTATTTTTTTGTTGGTAGTGATCGATGCAATTGTGCAGATAAATTCAGAACCGTTCCGGGCTATTGAGATGGTTAGATTGATTAAGATTAGTTGCCTAGACTGAGAAGACATGTGGTTGGATATACTCAGTTTTATCCTCTCAAAGCAGTACTCGTCTGCCAGCAGTCACTGCTGCGAGCAGTAGAGACCAAGATGTTCCTTATTGTGGTTGATATAAGTTACACCCGCCTTTTCCTTTAAGCGAACCCTTACAGAGATTATCCTCCGATTATGGAGGAATCGCCCGGGGCTAGTTTTTTTCTCTCGGATCGGGGAAGATATTAAGGTCGGGAGGAGAAATATGGAAAAGAGGTAATAACGGTTGAGAAATCGGGCCTACGTGAGCTGAAAGCCGAGCTCGTCCCGCGGCGGTCTCAGCCTCTTTGTGTACCAAAGCATCTTTTTGCTCGGCTTTGTTCAAATCGTTTCTCTTAGTGTTTATCAGCGTTCCTCCATGGTCCTGGGAGTTATTATTTTAATCAGTTAATGGCAGAATACGATAAATAAAAAATCCTTATTGTGATATATTTCGAAAGATTAATAATAATAATAATGTTTTATTTATTCTGGGACGAGTCCCTTTAGAATAATATAAAAAGACAATAATATGGGCTAAGGAGCCTTAGAGATACATAAACAAAAATATACAGTAATTAAATAGTCAAAATAAAAAAAATAATAGAAACAATTATAAGTTACTTACTAATTTAGATCAGTTAAAAATAAAAAATTGAAAATAAACATGAAATAAAAATAATGAAGAACGCTCTAATAATTTATATACATATTTACAGTAGTAACTATTTACAATTTTACTTTTCTATACTATTACAATAATAGATAGGAAAGGAATAATTGGGTAGGTAAATCTGGGAGTAAGGGATAAAAGGTTTTAACTAGGTTTCGGATATTGCTATTATGTGGTAAAAATCATCAAGGAAATGTTCCTGAAATTCATTCTAGTGTGCAGTAAGGGATTGTGCATTGATGTGACAGGAATTCAAGATATTAGTCATGACTGGAGGGTTGGGAAGTAGGATTTCAGAAAACAAAAAAAAAATGATCAAGGATGGAGGATAGGATATAGCATTTTTTAAGCTTATTTTTAAGTTTATAAATATAAAAAAACAATGCTTACATAAAATAAACTTAGAGATGAAAGAAATAAATTTTCGGTGTTTCGAAATAAATATTTAGTTAAAATTAATTTATAACATAAGAAAATATAAATTTCTCCTTGGTCTAGATAAATTGATAAAAATTGGCAAGGAATCGAATAGGTGCTAGTCCAAACTAAAATTGAACTGGCCGTGTATGAAACATAGTTGATCAGTTAAAATTCAGTGTTAAGTTAGAATGTATTTGGTGTGGTATGTACGGGTTCTTCGTGGAATTAAAGTTCTGGGCTAATAGGTTGTAATCCAGTCTATGGTAAAGTTTTTATGAAACAGTTTGGTTAGCCATGTCCTTGCGTAATAAGTTCTTTGTCACATAAAAGGATGCGTGTGAAATTAAGTAAACTGTTAATTTAACAGTCGTTACAAATATATATGTATGTAACATTATCTCATTTGGTATTAATAAATAAATTCCCATAATATGAATTATGCTTCGAATGTATTACAGAGAACAATATATACCTATTATGGGAGTTTTTACTCGGTTGTAATATTAATATACAGGGTGTTTCAGGTTAACTGACCAAACTGCAAAAATGAACCAATGACCTCAAAACAAGAAAAAAATTTCCTCTGAAAGTATGTCCGCAAACGCTTTTTTAAGGAGATATTCACACCTAAAGATTATCGTTGTTATGACTTATTTTTGTTATATGAAATAAATAAAACTTATTTATCAGGAAATATACAAGGACACAAGAGATCTAGAAACGGAAATAAGAATCAGGAGACTGAAATTCCACGGACATATGGTAAGAATGACCCCAGAAAGACTTAACAAGGAAATATTCCAAAAAATCCGTAGATACAAAAGCTTGGGAGGATGCATCAGACAGATGAAGGAAGAAACGAAAAGACTTGGAATAACGGACTAGGACTGTCTGGACAGGGTATGGTAAGAGACTAAAGGAAATCACGGTTCTTGCTAAGAAGAACAGTTCGAGAAAGGGAGTGGACGGAGGTGGGAAAGCTGCGGCACGCGGAGATAATGAGAGAGAAGTGGAAAGAAAGGAAAAACAAGAAAGAAGCCAAATGTCATGAGATTCGCGTGGTCTCTATGGCCGTTCCGTGAAAAAAAAAATTATTTAATTGTTCTAACTAATTTATCAATTAAATGTAAACATTAACATTCGAATTAAATGCTGTTCAAAGTGAAGGTATGTCCGCAGACTCTTTATTTAGGAGATGTATTGGATAGAATACTAATATGGCCTTTTATCCCTAACTGTATGAAAACTATTGGCAAGATAAGGATTAATACTACTTGGAAGTAGCATTGGGAACTCTCGATAACATTTATCAGCTTGTAAGACTTTCGCAGAGTACTCATCGTTATCATTTATACTAATGGTGAATATGCCGATATGATGTTTGTATACGGTCGCACAAAAATCCCCATGCGATTCGTGAGCATTATTTTCAGTGCAATATCTGGTTGAGGATAATAGACAATATTTTAATAGGTCCTAATTTCTTGCCGCCTTCACTCAATGCGGACAGATTTCCGGGATTTCTTAATGATTAATGTGATTTAGTTGAACATATTCCACTACAACTGAGAAGGGAAAAATGTAAAAACTTTAAAACGTGTGGCTTATATTAGATGGTTTTCCTGCACATTACGTATAAGGTCCACGGCAATGGTTAAATGTTGATTATCCCAATCAATGGATTGGCCGTGTAGAACCAGTGGCTTGGCCTGTACGCTCTCCTGACCTGACACCACTGGATTTTTTGTTGGGGTAACATTAAACATAAAGTCTATACAAGTTGAGTCAATGGCCTAACTTCCTTACAAAGAAGGATAATTAAATATTGTGAAACAATAACACATATCCAGTCCTGTTCTGCCACTCCTGCTGTTAAAGAAAAATGCCGAGCCTGTCTCAATACTCGAGGAAATCACTTTGAAGAACATTTAATATGAATATTAATGTTTATATTTAATTAATAAAGTAGTTGGAACAAATAAATAGGTTTTATTTATTTCATATAACGCAAATAATTCATAACAACGAAAATCTTTAGGTGTGAATATCTCCTAAACAAAGGGTTTACAGACATACCTTCAAAGGAAATTTTTTTCCTGTTTTGAAGTTCTTAGTTTATTTATTGTAGTTTGGTATATTAATCCTGAAACACCCTGTATAATATAGTCATATTAGTTAAATAATAGTAATAAATGTAATGATATTGATATAATTCTATTAATATATTCGTAGCCTTTATGATGATTTAGATATATTATAGCTTTATATATTCTCTCTACTCTACCAGCTAAATTAGATAGTTATGAATATAGCTAACGCTACTATCCCCTCTGATCTCCGCCCTAATAAGAACTTTAATATTAATTTTGCGTTAATTGTAAATGCAATCACAGTTGTACCCAAAGTTGGAAGATTAGATGTTAATCGAACTGAGTTCCATTCAAGCAAACTTAATTTCAAACTTGTACTCAACCGTTAATTTGCGATATTGCCGGTGAATGCCTACAGATTGATATTCATAGATCCAAACTCAAATTAATAGACTGCATGTATATTTAAATACCTATACGGTTGAATATTTTTGAGAAAAAAACAGTACGTTATGCTGATCATTTACATATAGACTTTATTTTTTCCAAGACTTATTTTTTTGAATCTGGAGGCCTTAAAACATGTATTATGTTATAAGCTCGTATTACACAAGTTTTACGATCATAATAGTTTCCCTTAGTATATATTTAATTGATGGATAAGTGAATGTAATAATTACAAAAATTATATGTGTTTGAACTTTTTCAGTGACCTTATGGAAGCTACAAATTCAAAAGATAGCATTTTTTTTTTTTTTTTTAATGGAAAACTAAACTGTTTTGATCAAGGAGGCACCAGTTTAGTTCAGGCTGAGCCCGGAAGCTGAACCCCTATCGTACTTCCGGTAGGATGGGCTCACATCTCTTCTGCTTCGAAACTCGTCCATTGAAAAGAAACTTCTGCATAGATAGCAACCTCCATCACTTTTTTTTCTATTTTTTTTTTAAATTATTCGGTGTGGAATATCCAGAGAAACAATTGTAAAAAAAAAATAAGGAAAAAGCTTTGAACTTTTACCTAACCGCGAAGGGTAAAAAAAATAAAATATTGTACTGCTCTGATTTTTCTCTATATAATCCTAAATGTTGCTATGTAATTTTAAGGAGCATCATTCCTAAAAATAAATTAGTAATAAATAATACTATTTTCCTCTATGGCAATCAAAAGATATTAAAAATCTCGCTAAGAGTATTATAAGAGAACAAACTATCCTGTACCTAAATGAAGATAAAACAAAAATAAAATAATAAGTTATGAAAAATTGTTTTTGATTGTGGATAGACTCAAATATATGGGCTCTACAATAATCTCATAATATGACCAGCTGTCAGAAATTCACCAGCGAATAACAAGTGCAAACGAAATTTTTTTCTTTATTTTTAAAGGTGTTGAAATCCTGAAAAATCTCTAGATATCTTAAATCAGGATATGATATTCTGCTGCTGGGCCTTGACACTAATCAGCATCCTAAAAAGACTTCTTAAAATATTTGAGAGGAAATCCGCACGATCTGAGAACAGAGTACTAACGTACGAAGGAGAAGGAACTGTAACCAACTAATTATAAATATTAGTCAATCAATATCACATGATATGAAGGCGAGGAAGTTAAGATGAATACTGCTTCAGTGATTGCCTCAATAGTAGGCAAGAGGCCAGAAAGCAGATTGTTCTTTCCAAAAAATAATACAGATGAATTAATATTTTTAGTTGGAAAAAAAATGAATCATTCTATATCTTATTGATCCCTATACAGATTAACAGTAGGTTTTTCTAGCAATTACTGAAATTTGGGAAACAGATAACATTTTTGTTTTTTAAGAATGATATGTATTAAATAATATGTTCAATAATAGCATAAGTGCATATAATAGGAAAATAAAAAAAAAAGTTATAACAATAACAAATTTAAATAAGTAAAAAAGAAAAATATATATAAAAAATAGAATCACATACATCAATAACATGTAAGTTAAATAAGAAATAAATCAATCAATAAAATTATTTACATACACCCAGAGAACATGGAGTCCTCCAAACGTGAAAAGTAAAGTAGGACTCCTGGAGATCCCAGTGCTTCTCACACAGCAGCGTCACTATTATTAGAAGCCAGTGGAGGCTGAAGGCTGGAGGCACAGAAGCCACTAGCGGTGCAACAGATATATTTTTAAATATATATGCATAGTGTGGCCCAAAATCAGTCTTGGACTGCCACTTTGCAAGACCTCGAACAATACCGCCGATAAGGTTGTCGCAAGACCAAGACTGAAAAAAACGTTTTTGTATATAAAAATTGAGGCAAAATAGTTACTAATACTAGACAATTTTAGTTATTATATGAAAAGAATTTTAAATTCCAATATACTTTTGTGTTTAGCTCTTTCGTTTTTTTTTTCATTCGGGGTTTAGTTTCTCCCTATGTTAAATATGTTATTTTTAATGAAAACATTTAAAATTGTTTGAAATCGGTGGGAAAGCCGTGTGAGAAAACACACCAGATTTTTCATTTAAATAGTTGTTTGTAATTAACAGATGCCGATTGTAAAATAACAATAATTGGTGACATTATTTAAATTATATTAACACTACAACTTTTCCATTCCAATGTGGGAGGCGATCACTATATTTCTTGACAATGCCTTTAATCGATCGTATTAGCACACTACACACTACATTCTTGCCTATTTCTACACTTCACTTATTATCTGTGAATCTAAACATGAAAATTCCAAAACTTGCTGAAAAATTTGGGGTCCAGAATCTACCCTGAGACCACACTGTCTTGGGATTTCCTCAAACATGTTATGTTTAAAAAGTTTTCTTCCTTCAGCCTCCAATTACAGAAACACTTGCATAACTACTGAGAATGTCCAATTTAATTGACGTCTACAAATTAATATGTAACACAAAATATATTAATGTAATGCAATTAATATATTTTCATTTATATGATTCCTCTACGAAATTCATCACCTACTTTTTTATAATGTTATAGATTGAAATACTTATCTATGATTAATATAAAAGTGACAAAGTATATTTTTTAATGTAGTGCTAATGTAGACATTTTATTGCAAAACGATATTACACACATTTTAAATGTAGTTATATTTTTTTAGAGTGCTACCAATTAGTAGTTACTCAGCAAGTGTATTCATGTCATTATATCTATTATGTCCAAATTTACTAGATGTATTTATGTAATACAGTTGTAAATGTCTTTAAGAAATAAAAAAAAGTTATACTTTTATTTTTTTATTCATGGAAATTACAACTGCATAAATTTAAAACTACATCGAGGAAATATGCACATGGTAATAATACAATCACATGAATACGCTTGTTGAAAAACTACCCATTGGTAGCACTCTAAATTATACTTTTAAGTAAATTTTTGAAAATTTCCGCCTTATCAAAGAGCTTGCTCAAAGAGTCATGTAGCTTCGTGACTGACAAAAATAAAATAAACAACTTGACAAAAATATAACTACATTTACAAGGAAGAAGTTGAAACAAAGTGATATCGTGGCCAGCAAAATTTTTCATTCGTGGACTTTTAGGAATTTAAAAAAAATCAATAAAAACAATTCTTTCTACATATTTTTTATTCAAACGCCTAATTATAACTTCAATACCTCTGTTATCATTTTTTTTTCAATAAAACATCTAAATGTATCCATTCTGTAGTGTTTTCTTAGATCTTAAGTAACATTTTTTAAAAATAGCAGTAATTTAATAAGTAACTGCGAAAATCTCGATCAAGACCAAGATTCGTCTTATCACTATGCAGTTTAGATTGCTGTAATTAACGCTGATATTTATTTCAATACTAACGTTTTCAATTAAAAATGTTTCCCTCGAGCTACAGCGATTCTTTCAACCTGCACCGAACAGCTGATGAGCGAACATCCAACTTAGAGACAAATATCTTTAATTGCAGAGAGCTACGGCTACAACGTTATTACATCGCTCATTAAAGGCCTTCAACATCAACCTTCTTTAATGAGGCCACTTCACTAATAAACGGTTATTTTATAGCATTTGTTTATTTATATAATAAAAGTTTATATAAATTTTACCATAGAATGTATACTTTGTAAATAAAAGTTTTTCATAGGCATCAGTAGTTGAAACCCTACAAAATAAAAAAAAGAATCTACAAAATCGATCTACTCGTTCTCAAGATAATCTTGCGACCGATAGACCGATGGCGGAATTTATTTTCGAATTCAAGGGGTTTTGAAACGTAAAGATCAGTTGAAAACCGCACATCGGAAATTTGACGCAGTATTTTTCTTATCTAGTAATGGTAGGAAAGTAAAAAAAGGTGCTATATGAAGCACCATTTCTGTCTAGCCTATTTTACTGAATCAGTTTCTGTAACTTACCCGACATAAACTTAATTGCTTAATATCAGCTTCGAACTACTTTCGTTTGTGAGCTATGTAGTTCACGATTTATTATTGCCTCAGTTTGGTTATTTGAACCCAAACAATCTCAAAATCTGTAATTCTTTTGATAACTCGGATATGAAATTTTTCAAAATTGTATTATTTTCTAATACTTTTTATATAAAATTATTAACATCCGTCAAAAACTATTTGAATGGCATCATCTCATCGTAACTTACAACTTTCTATTTAAGAAAATTCTTGTAAATTGTTTTCAACCATTGTATACTAGGTACTAAAAACTCATGAACACCCTTTTATTTTCACTTGAATCATAAGATAATTTCATCACGAAATGGAATAAAAGTGTAACCTACAAATTGGACCATTTAGCGTGAACTCCACCCTCAATATTTCAAAATGACGAGGTTCTTTTAACCAAATGACACCATGTTTTGGTAGCCAAGCTTTGTCTCCATATTGCGATTATTTTATCTAACCATTCAAGGGAAAAGTAAATGAGAACATGATTTTTTAGTATCTTATTAGGTAATTTCATTAAATAAGAAAACGATTAGTCTCCTTATCTGTTTACCTACATTTATCAAATGTAACCTCCACTAACGTGTTATCCACTGATATCTTATTATTATATTATTTGATTCTTATTTTAGCTTATCAAAACTTAATCAATTTTCAATTTTTTTATTCATCAACACTAATTTTCTCTATCTGTTAACCTATAGTTATCAAATGTAGCCTTTACCAGTTTGTTATATACACATTTCTTACTTTTTATCATAATCTGTTTACTTATAACTTACACGCTATATTCTCCTTTCTTTTCTATTTTTATTCATACTTATTTTCTATATTTTTTTTTTGTATCTTCCGTATACATATAATAATTGATATTTTAACTACACCGTCACCCACTACATCTCTGATGTCATCTTATTACTTCTTTATCAGACAACTATTTCTTATTAAATATCTACTTATAATTCATTCATTTTATTTTCACCATGTACCTGTTATATTATGTATCTTTTGTAGCCCTGATGAAGACTTGCAAGGTGGGTCGAAACGACGGCGTAATTAAAAATACAATTTTTTAAAAATTTAATATTTGCTTGACCGCACCCTCCGACCAATTCTTTCTCATATTATATCATGGGCAACCATCTCTACATCATTATAAATTAGAAAACGATCAATTTCTGAGAATATTTCAAGATAAAAAAGGTTACGATGAGAGAAGCTATTCACGATTTTTTAGATTGATGTTAATAATTTGACAAACGAGGGGCAGTACAGCGGACTGCCTGATGTTTTATATATATATATATTTCTTACTCCTTTCTCTCAGACTACTTAACATCAAACTTCAAAAGTTTATTAAGAGACAAGTGAGTCTGTATATTTTCAGTTAAAAGAAGTAATATATTTAAATAAGCATAACGCTAGAAAACAGACATAAGGTAATTGTGTTATAAATGGAAAAATTCCAACTACAAAGCCACGAGTATTCAACATACAAGTGAATAATTAACTTGCAAAGATCACATATATGCAAAAAGTAAAAAAAATAAAAATAAAAATAAATTATTGCAGTTGGCATGTTGGGGACTAATTGTTTTTCTATTTATAACAGAATAATTTACATCACTTATGGTATTATAAAGTGAAAAATAAGGCAGACGCCAGTAGAATATATGAACCACATTTCACTAATTAAGTTATTTCTAGAAAGTATTGAGTGAATGCTGTAATTAATGAATTTTAATCAATCC